CGTATTCTTCTTGCAGAAAGAGTTTTACTCGCCTCGACTAAAATCTTTCCGTTTTTCAGTTGTAATTTATTTTTCAGTTGAATTGTAATTTTCTATTTTTAGATTATTTGTAAGAACTGAAAATACATATCAGTTCGTAGGATTCCCATGTAATTCACGTTAAATATCCAACAATCGCAAGAAGAATAACGTCAACCTACTGAAGTGATGGCATCCACCGGAGCAGGTTCCAGCTCTCAGAAGTCGAATCATATGGCAAAAGAATGCAAGAAGCCAAAGAAGGTTGTACCAATGAAAGGTAAACCGAGTGCCCTTGTGGCTGAACACGGCCTTGTGCCGGGTAAAATGACCGACTTTGATATGTCGGCTGTGGTGTTTGAACCCAATTTGGTGGATAACCTAAGTGAGTGGTTCATCGATACTGGTGCCACTAGACATGTGTGTTCTGACATGCAGGTGTTCTCTGAATACACTCCTGCTACGAGTTGGAAACTTCACATGGGAAACTCCTCCACGTCTGATGTAGCAGGAGTGGGCACTGTGGTGCTGAAGGATGTTCTGCATGTCCCAGACATCCGCAAGAATTTGGTCTCCGGATCACTTCTTGTTGAACATGGATTTAGGCTGGTGTTTGAAGCTAAGAAGTTTATTCTTAGCAAGAACGGAATATTCCTTGGTCATGGTTATCTCGACAAGGGATTGTTCAAAATGAATGTATTGGCCGTGAGCCGTGTAACCGTTGATAATAAAAAGCCTATTTCTGTTTATACTGTTGAGTGCTCTGATGTATGGCATATTAGATTGGGACATGTAAATCTAAATGCGATAAAACGGTTGATGAAATTAGAATTAATTCCTAATTCTAAAGTTGATAAAAATACAAAATGTGAAATTTGTGTTGAAGCAAAAATGACTAAGTTGCCTTTTCACTCGGTGGAAAGGAGTACTGAACCATTAGGCTTGATCCATACTGATGTATGTGATATGAAAAGTGTGCAAACAAGAACCAATAAAAAATATTTTGTAACTTTTATCGATGATTGCACAAGGTTTTGCTACTTACATTTGTTAAGAAGCAAAGATGAGGCTGTGGAAGCGTTTTAGATATATAAGACCGAAGTTGAAAATCAACTCGGCAAAAGGATTAAAATAATCTGAAGTGATAGGGGTGGAGAGTATGTAGCTCCCTTTGAACAAATATGTTCTGAATATGGCATAATTCATCAAACGACGGCCCCTTATTCTCCACAGTCGAACGGTGTTGCTGAACGCAAAAATTGAACTTTAAAAGAAATGATGAATGTCATGTTGATTAATTCAAGATTACCACAGAACATGTGGGGGGAAGCTGTTTTGATAGCAAATCATATCCTGAATAAAATACCACCTAAAGGGAAAGATGAGACTCCTTATGAAATGTGGAAAAATCGTAAGCCGTCTTATAAATACCTGAAAGTGTGGGGGCGTTTGGCTAAGGTTTCAGTACCTGAACCAAAACAAATGAGAATCGGGCCAAAGACGGTCGATTGTGTATTTATTGGATATGCGTACAATAGTACAGCATATAGATTTCTGGTTCATAAATCAGAAAATCCAAAGGTATCTGTGGGTACCACGATTGAGTCAAGAAATGCTATATTCTTTGAGAATGTTTTTCCTATTAAGGAAAGGGCAGAATCTAGTTCTAATAAAAGAACGTATGAAACTGCTAGTGGTTCTGTACCAGAGGGTACTGATGAAGAACCGAGACGTAGTAAAAGGGTAAAAATGGCTAAAACGTTTGGACCTGATTTATTACGTACATGCTGGACGATGAACCGGGTTCCCTTAAGGAAGCTCTATCCAGCCCAGATGGACCACTCTGGGAAGAAGTTGTAAATAGTGAAACTGAGTCCATTATGCAAAATCATACTTGGGAGTTGGTTGATCTCCCTGATGGTTGTAAACCTTTAGGATGCAAGTGGATCCTAAAGAAGAAATATAAAGCTGATGGATTGATTGACAAGTTTAAAGCACGTTTGGTGGTCAAAGGCTTTAAACAAAAGGAAGGGTATGATTTTTTTGATACCTATTCACCTGTTACACGTTTAGCGTCGATAAGAGTGCTTCACTCGATTGCTGCTGTGCACAATCTTGAGATTCACCAAATAGATGTCAAAACGGCATTTTTGAATGGTGAATTGGAAGAAGAAATATACATGGAACAACCTGAAGGGTTTGTTGCACCTGGACAAGAGAGAAAGGTGTGTAGATTGATTAAATCCTTGTATGGACTGACAAGCTCCGAAACAATGTCATTTGAAATTTGATGACGTGATGTTGACAAATGATTTCAAAATCAACGAATGTGATAAATGTGTTTATGTCAAGAGTACATCATACATTTGTGATTGTACGTCTATATGTAGACGATATGTTGATCATGGGAAGTGATCATGGATACGAAAAGAATGTTGAAGAAAAATTTCGACATGAAAGATATGGGTTTAGCTGATGTTATTCTTGGAATAAGGATTATCAGAACCCAAGATGGAATTGTCTTGTCACAATCTCATTATGTAGAGAAAGTGCTCAAGAAATTCGATACCTATGACGGTGTACAGTCTAGGTGTAAGACACCCCTTGATCTCAGTATAAATCTGGAAGTCAACAAAGGTCAACCAGTGGCTCAGTTGGAATATTCACGGATAATAGGGAGTCTGATGTACTTGACGAATTGTACACGACCAGACTTGGCCTATCCGGTGAATAAGTTGAGCAGATTTACGAGCAATCACAGTCATGAACACTGGAATTATTTGAGAAGGGTACTTAAGTACTTGAAGTACACCCTTGAATACGGGCTAAAATACTCGAGATATCCAGCCGTACTTGAAGGGTACTGTGATGCAAGCTGGATATCAGATTCGAGAGATTCTCGCTCCACTAGCGGATATGTTTTCTGTATTGGAGGAGGTGAAGTTTCGTGGAAATCCACAAAACAAACGTGTATAGCTCGGTCAACGATGGAATCGGAGTTCATCGCTTTAGATAAAGCTGGTGAAGAAGCCGAGTGGCTTAGAAATTTTTTATTCGATATTCCATGTTGGGATAAGACTTTGCCGTCTGTGATGATTCACTGTGATAGCCAAGCTGCTATAGGTAGGGCACAAAGCAACTTGTATAACTGTAAGTCTAGACATATTCGTCGTAGACATAATACCGTACGTCAATTGATCACAAATGGTATTATTTCCATTGACTATGTGAAGTCTAAGGAAAATTTGGCTGATCCTTTGACGAAAGGATTGAATAGAGATCAATTGGCAGTTTTGCTAGAGGGAATGGGCTTAAAAATCCACAATGTAAAGAATGATCATAGTGGTAATCCTACCATGCTGAGTGGAGATCCGACGAACTTGGTTCAAAGGGAAAACTAAGCTATGAAAATTCGGTTGAGCACTTGGAACATATATATATGTCCAAAGCTATTTCCTAGAGCACTCCAAGTGCAAGATAACCTGTTGATTGTGGTAAGGGTAAGTCATTTGAACTTTTAATGAATCTCTAACCTTGTAAAGGTGGAGTATTACAGTATACTCTTGATAGGGAGGTCACCTATATAAGTGTGAAGTGTGGGCCGCTTTAAATGTAAACACTTATGAATCCATTTTGTTGTCCATGGAAAAAACGGACACAACGATAGAACGGAATGGAGTTAAGACTCTATTGTGTGAATGTCATTGTCTTGGTGTACACTATGGAGGAATATTCAAGGCATTATGTCTACTAGGCCGCCAGTGTATCCGATGATATTTACTAAAAAAGGTTCAAAGCCAAAAGCTACCTTGTCTGATGCGATAGAATTTTGTGAGGATTGAGCACAAGAGTCTGCATACGTGCATATATGTTTCTACTCATGTGGGGGATTGTGAAAATTGTGAGTGGAAATAATTGAGTGTGGGTCCTCTCTCTTTTTGCTAATCATGTTATACATGTGATTCCAATTTGTTCTTCTGTCAATCAAGTTGTTCATCTGATTTCAATTGAAAATTGTGAGATTTGTCAGCAAATAATTGAGAGTGGGTCCTCTTGAACATGTCTTACATGTGCTTTCAATTGCTGGCCACGCCTTCCCATATTAAGTTGACCTTATTTTGTTCCCTCATCTTCCCTATAAATAGTTGTTCGGGAAAGAAAGAAAAGGCACAAAACAGAAGAGAAAAAGAGAGGAAAGAAGAGAAAGAGAAAGGAAAGACAGATAAATTTATGTCCAAATATCGTATATAAAAATATCAAAAGAGAAGAAACAAATGATATTTTTGTTTGTTTCAGAATATTCCTTTTATTACTAAGTGCTCAATTCTCGATTCCGTTCCCGTTCGCCGGAGCTCATAAATCTGGTGTACTACAGATTTAGAGACGTTTGCCGTTGTATCTTTGGGGAAGTTATGCCTGAACCGTTAGCTGACACACGGGGCGTATTCTTCTTGCGGAAAGAGTTTTACTCGCCTCGGCTAAAATTTTTCCTTTTTTCAGTTCTAATTTATTTTTCAGTTGAATTGTAAGTTCTATTTTTAGATTATTTGTAAGAACTGAAAATACATATCAGTTCGTAGGATTCCCGTGTAATTCACCCTAAATATCCAACAGAAAGCATGGCCTCTTTGCTAGAATTCAATTTTAAAAGAACTAAAGGATTTGGTAAAACGACGAGGCTGTCGACCCTGTTCGTGTACCAACAAATAGAAGATCGAAAAGAAAATTTCAATAAATTAATTCAAACTGGTAAATCAATTGATCAGCAATGTTTTTCTAATGGATCAAATTCTATTTTACCCAATAGCAACATGCATTTTATTTCATCACACAACAGTGGTACACATTATCTGCAGGACCCAGTACAAGAATGCATTTTATTTCATCACACAATAGTGGTACACATTATCTGCAGGACCCAGTACAAGAAAGTCTTAGAACATCACAACGCCGCATGTTCAGACACGAACACCGCCCAAATTTTAAGAAGATTTTGCCGAACAATTAACCCAATCCACCGATGAGAGCGGCTTGACTTTGAGCACCGGATTGTAGTCAAAGAAATTGGTTGGCTTAAGCTCAAACGAACCACTCAGTGTCGGCATGATCGGATAATCTTCCTGCACGGGCACATGATGAACACCCAAGGTGTGCCACACCACAATATCCTTGTTCACAATGTCCCTATTCCTGTAATTAATAATAATAATCCAGCAATCATGGGATAATAACTAATATCATATTATAATAATAATTAGTCACTAATTACGTGTGCATATATACGTACTTCATGGTCCATGCAGCCAATGTATCGTCTCCGTGCGCCTGATCCACAAAATCCCCGCCAGCCCATTTTTCGGACCTGTTATACGGGGTGGCCCAAACATGATAGTTACTAAAGGCCCCGCGTATTTGTTCGTAATCGTCTCCCAATAGTAATGGAGCCGCAACTGGGCCTGGGACCAGCCGATAGCCCACATGGTGGCCCATATTAGTCCTCTTGTTGGGATTCACGATTGTGACCTCCGTATCACCCGAGTTGAAGGTCATCTTGGCATCGGACTCGGTCTTAGCTGTCTCGTGGACCGCGGTCCAATAGCTTCTCCTCGGAAAAGTCCCGTTGGCCACACGGACCGTTTTCAAGTGGGTTTTTGTTAAGGAGTTTGCGGGCCCGTCTATGTCGAGGTCGAGATGGAAGGTGAGGAAGTGGTTGTGACGGACGGCAATGGTGTTTTCGGCTACTAATGTGCCGTAGACTTCTTCTTTGATTTGGTCTTGGTGGGTGTATTTGGAGCCCTTGACAGCTAGAATTCCTGAAAGACTAACCTGCATTTTTTGCAAATTTTTTAAGTAGTGTAATGTACTTTTTTTTTTTTTTTTCAAATAGTAGTGTAATGTACTGAAAAGCATTTTGTATATTGAATATTTGGATATATAGAGAAAAGAAAAAATGTTAATAGATACATTTATATATATTGGGACTCCATGACCATGAATCTTAGAAAAACGTCTAATCAAAGTATTTGTAATTAAAAAAAAAAAAGTCGAGGGAACTTCATTTAAAATTATCATTTTTCATATTGAAATTTTATAGTTTTTATGCAAAAGGTGACGAAGCAACCATGATGGAGACTACTTAATATCACGAGTTTCTAAGAGCATCTCCGACGGTTAACATGAATTGAAGGGTATGTAGAAGGTATTTCATCAATGTGGAACAAATAGAAGTTGAATCTCATACGTCCAGTGGTTGAGTTATATCTTCACATTATCCATTAATTTTATATTATAAAAAAAAATGAAGGGAGTGAGTTTTTCCTTGGACTTTTCTTTCCCATATAGCTATTTCCTCTCCTAGGCTAATTCAAACTCTGAGTCATCACGTGTGACATGACTTCTACATGTAGAGGAGTGCTAGACTTTTTTCCTTCTCTTTCCAACCACGTCATTGTGATTACCATCTAGACATTAAGGGTTGGAGATTTTTTTTACTGATTGCTTCTACATTTCTACAATTAACAATCTATTGGAGATGCTATAAGGTGAAGAAGCAACCATGATGGAGACTACCTAATATCACGACTCGCGAGTTTCTAAGCAATTGAGTTCAAGTTTGGGGTGCTTGTGCTCGGTTCGAGCTTTTACCCGAACGCTCGACAAGCTATTTGATTTGCTTGCAGTTCTTACTACATGAGCATGCTTGACAGTATACTAAGGACTTTATTATTTTGTTTTTCAAAGAAAAAGGACAGTTTGAAGGTACTTAGCTGCCCGAGTGTCAAACTTATTATCCTGTTGGGATCCGACACTCGGGTATTACCTTGTTGGGGTCCTTGTAGTTGTTGTAGTTGTTTTAGTTGTTTGCGTTGGTGGTTAGTTTAGTTGTGAGTGTTTTTATTCTAGCGTTGTTAGTCGAGATTCTAGGCGGTCTTCTGACTTGTCCTCCCACTTTTTCAGTTGTTGGCTGCAGTGGATTCAGCCGTTGGCTGCTGTGTATTCGCACATTAGTGCATTTTGATTTATAATATTATCTATCATTTTGGAAACAAAAGGTACTTAGATATATATAGAGGCCGCATTGAGCCAAGTTGACCCATTTAACCAGTCGACACGGGTTCATTGACTATGGTTCAGGGCCAAATTCGAGCCTGACCCGACCCACCCAAATTTGGTACTAATAATTTTGAATTTCATCTAGTTATGGGTCGTCAGACTTCGAACCGAGGGTGAGTTCTTGATTTTGCAATCTATGTTTGATAGACAAATAAGCCGACTAATAACTTATTTGGTTTGCTTATAAGTTTCCTGTACTTAAATAAGTTTCATTTGGTACGACGATTTTTTTTCTTAAAAAAGCTCGAGCTTATCTTCTAAGTTTTTCTTTGATTAGCTTTTCAATTAAACTCGTTGAAATTTTTATTTCAGCTAGGTTATCAACCAATTTTACCAAAGACTTTTATCATATTTTTAACTTTTCAGCTATAAGCCATAAGCTCGAAAATTATTGATGAGCTAGAAGCTAGCTTATATCAATTAGTTAGTTTTACCAAACATAGCTTACATATATCCTCGGGTCGGTTTGGATTAATTCCTCATTTTGTCGCCTTGTACCGGCTAGTAGTCGCCACTACTTAGCCAAAATTGTGGGGGCAGGGCTTGATAAGATTTTCATTTGCTTACTTAGATTCGTTTTGAGTAAAAGTGAATGATGCCGGCCGTATGAATTGTATGAATCATGTGAGGATGGGAAAAATTCAAAATTAGTCCCATAGGTATAGGGGGGTGACATTTTTGGTCCCAACGGAATCCGAAAAATATTAATAGTCCTGAAGCTTTTAAAAAATGATCAAAAGTAGGACTTTTTTCAATTTTCCGGCCCGGAATGCCACGTGGCCACATTCATCTGACGTGGCTGAGTACAATGGCAAGGAAAAAAATTCAAAACTAGTCCCACAGGTTTTGGGAGGTGACATTTTTGGTCCCAAAAGAATCCATAAAATCTTAAATAGTCCCGCCACGTGTGTGCCACGTGGCATTCTGGGCCGGAAAATTGAAAAAAGTCCTATTTTTGATTATTTTTCAAAAGCTGCGGGACTATTAATATTTTTTGAATTCCGTTGGGACCAAAAATGTCACCCCCCTATACCTGTGGGATTAGTTTTGAAATTTTCCCATGTGAGGATAAAGCCATGAACGGTACATTTGTGGCTCCGAACAAAATTCATATTGAGATGACACAACATTTTACTTACAGTGACTTTGACGCCCCCATTTTGCTTAAATTCCCAATCAATAATATAGTCATAGTTGGCCACCGTTGATACCATCCTCACAACAAGCGTCACGTCTGGTCTGGCCTCCTGTACACGTAGATATGCATTGCTTGAATAAAATTTATATTTATAATTATAAAATAAGAATAAGATTTAAATTTTTTTTTATAAAGCTTTATTCTCGCCACAAGCATTAATTACATACTAAAAAAAATAATTTTAAATTTCCACTACAAGAAAAATTACATTTGGCGACGCTTATCGGCGAGTTGTGTTGCTAAATTTGATGTCAGAAAAAAATAAGCGTCAGTAAACAAAAAAATAAGCGTCGCCAAATGTAGTTTTTCTTGTAGTGTTCATTTTAGATACAAAAAGGAAACATTTAATTGTATTTATTTTAGTTATATTTAAAAAAAGGAATCCATTTATATTCGGCGTTGATAGCTATTATTTTAACATATTTGTTAGAAGATTTGCATACGAATTGGACTAAAATAATTTGAGTAATGTTATAAGTACATAATTTTGTACATAAGAGGTATATAACACTCACATTGAGTGAGACCCACTAAAATAAAAAATCAAGTGGACTTCACTCTATGCGAGTGTTATGTACATCTTTATGTACATTTATTATGTACTTGCAGCATTTTCCAAATCATTTTAACTTTATCATGATCCCTTTTTAATTAGGGTAACGGTTTTGTAAAGTATTTTATTTTCATAGTAATAAATTTTAAAAAATCAGTGATTTTTTAAAGCATATTTTTTTCGATATCTTCTTTAAGATTGAAGTCAACCTTCTATATATAATATATAAACCATTAACCATATTCTCTGGTTACTTAAATAAATAAAAATAATTTTATTAATATGGTATTGTTTATTTGTTGTAAATAGAAGATTGACTCTACTATAGTGTCAACTGTTAGCTTCATAACAAAACTGATTGAATGGAATCGATAAAAAAAAAAAAAATGAAAATAAGACTATGGAGTCCGTTAAAAAAAATAAAAATGATAGAATGAAAGACATATAGAGAAAATCGCTTTATTGAAAATAAAAGAGATTTGGATTAGCATGTGTGATATATACGACAAACCCATTATGTATAATTTTTACAACAAAATTCTCCAAATTTTGGACCACAAATGATTTTAAATTTTAGTAAGCATATTTGTTTAAAGAATACATTTCCAATCTATTTCCTCAAATGAAATGAATGACACAAAAGTAAGAATGATAGAATAAAAGAGATATAATGAAAATCATTAGTGCATTTTAGTAACAATATTTAAAAAAAAAAAAAATACTTTTCCTAGTAAAATGAAATGGAAAAATAAGAAAGAAAATAAAAGAGATATATTCAAAATCACTACATGCAATATCACATGTAATAGTGACAATATAAAACTGATATACCACAGATATATAGACACTGTTTTTATATGATATAAATGGAATTTATAGTCACAATATAAACTAACATAATGTTTTTATATCTATATAAATCTCATCTCATAAACTTTAATGTGAGATATTAAACTATACTACCTATTGTTCACACATTTAATATTTTTAGATTATTTTTTACACCTTCTATATACTAAGTATCTATATCCTATGCCTGTATATCTACATATATATGTTAATTTAAGTATTTTTAAACATTTTGTCTTTACAAAATAGTTTAAAAAAAATAGTTAATTTTACATTTTTTCAACAATAATTTATAATTATTATTTAATATTATCTATCCACATCTTTAATTTACATACATTATTTAGTAGTATTTACTCATGCATTGCACAAGCTGGCAATAATAACAATAATGATAATAATAATAATAATAAAAAAAAAAAACACTCGTCAAGTTACATACCGCTATGTCATCACCAGGAAGAGCAGCCTCTGTATGGCGCCACATTACATCACCCGAGTAACGTTCGAAAATACAAAAGACATTAGGTATTTTCACGGGCGTCCCGTCTCGACTCGTGTAATAACCGTCAAAATACTTTGCGTTTTTAGGGCAATCCCTTGATGGCTGTAGTGGCACCGCACAAATGCCGAATCCAAACTCACCGGCATCGAGGAAAGTTCTGAACCACCACTCTTCACTAAGGTCTTGATACGGCACGAAAAGTTCAGATACGTAGCCTTTATACAAAACACTCCGGTATTTGTTCTTGTCGTGATCGAAAATCGACGCCAAGGAGATTACCGGGCCAACTCTCATGTCGAAACCGAGATGGAAATCCCAATTAGCCCACCTACATGATACTCACAACATGAATTCTGAATGTGCAACTAATTATTTAGATAAATTTTATTAATTTTAACTTAAGTTAGTAGCATGTACCATAATTTAATTTCTACCTACTATATGTAGGGGAGAAATGTTGAACTCATTAATATACCTCACATTATTTCCATCTAAGGTGAAACTTGGTCCATCTTGTTGCAATATCGTCATACCCTTGATACGATTGTCATAAAGAGGGCCTTGTTTAGACTCGACATATTCTACACCATCACCTTTGGCGACTGGAATCATTTGACGGTCATGATAACCGACGATCTTCATTAGGTCAAGATCGACTGTAGCCATGATACCCTCGATAGGCCTCATATAGAAGTTAATCGTGCCATCAACATAGTAGCACATCACTTGTACCACCCGTTTGGTGTTCTTCTCTCCATACCATCCGATGGTAAAGGCTTCGCACAATACCTCACTTAGTTTGAGCTTTCGCTTAGTGATGGACTCCACAAACGGTGGATATTTGTGTGGCAACTCACTCGCAAGAGCTTGCTCCTCGCCATTGAGCATTGGGTAGCCAGTGCCTCGATAAATTTTATCTGATAAAATCAATTTGTTAGATAGATCTATCAGAATCTCGTGGCTCTGAGAATTGACACGTGCAACGATAAATGCTCTACGAGGTATGATTGATGATTTTTTATTTTGATTTTTGGACAACCAAGAGAGGACCTTTGGTTTGTATGGCTCATCCAAGCCTACATATTGAAATGTCACATTTTGGTGTGATTTTTTTACTAGGGTTTGGACTTGCTTGAGCTCAAATGGAGTTAGGGAATCTAGTGGATGATGTACTCCTTGGCTTGCAACATTAGGAGTGAAGGAAAGAATAGCAAGAAAGATAAAGGCAATAGCAACGTTTGTAATTCCCATTGGATGTACAATGTCCTTTGCTCTACATTGGCAAATACCCATGATATATTTGGGGACATTAAATAGACAACTAGAGGGTATTTTCGAAATTAACTAGCTTGAGTATGATATCCCATAGATACTAGTGATTAAACTAACTTGATTTACTATAAAAATAGAAAATTTATCTTGTTTCTTTTATGAATTTATTGGGTATTCGGTAAAATATTATCTTATTTATTTATTTGTTTGTTTTGTAAAAATATACTAGTACGTAGCCCATACGATGTACATGTCAATAATGTTAGATCTATTTTGAGATTAAATATGTGTACTTGATACATTCGGTCATTATATTAAGTGATCAAATTATGGTACATTGACTAAGGAACTTAGTTTTGATTGTGGAATAATTGCATGTGGACACCCGATAATATTATTATTTGGTGACGTGACAAATAATAATATTAAACTTAAGGACCTAAATAACAAATAGTTTGGGTCAAAATTATTTATGGGTGAAGTCCCCAAAAACCGTAAAATTAAATTGATGCTCATTATGATAATCTATAAGGAATAGAAATAAAAAATAAAATAAAAAATAATAAAAGTTGGTGGTAGTTGCCAACACTTTTTATTAAGTGTGACAATCAACCACTAATCATTATAAAATAAGGTTAAGGGGAGGGCATCAGGAACTTAACAAGTTTCTTTCTTTTCATATGTCCGGAATAAAAAAAATAAAAGAAAATAAAGAAAAATTCACGGTTTTTCTGAAAGATTTTAAAATCTCAAATCCAAATAATCAATCAACATGAATCTATCAGGTACGCTTCTGTTATTTGATTATGATTCTCGATCATTCAATATGAACGCTCTTGAAATTAATATCGATTTATTTTAAATAAAGTTAATTAAATCCAATTCTATCAATTGGTAAGCCTCTTCATATTGGATTTATTTTAGAATCAACTTTAATTTATTTTTCCATCCGTATGGAAATATACTTGTGGTTCTGAGATTGATTGTTGCTTCGGATTTATAAGTCCGTCAAGTTTTCATTATGGATTTTTTTTGAAATCCGATTTATTTCTCAATCCTGGGACCATAGTTGCTGTAAGGATTTCTTTATGAATATTTGGAACATGTTGTTATATGCCTCTTAATTGTATTTTTTTTTTTTCAGCGACAAACAAGATAAAATTATTCAATAAAATGATGTCTTACAAAGGAGGCCTCATTAGGCACGACTAGTATTAGACCATGTGCATTTGCACAGATGTAAATAAAGTATTGTGAGTTATTTGTATGCATGATTAATTATTTTTCTTTCACTTTTTTCCTATGCCAAATTTACAATTAAAGGAGTTAGAATATTTATATTTTTTAAATTAGGTTTATCTGATTGGATGTAATGTATATTTTGGTACGTCTTTTTTTTGTGAATTATTTATTATTTATTTAGGAATTTCAAATACGTTTTTTATTTTTTAAAAAAAAAATTAAATGTAACCACAATAATAACATCTAATCACATTATATGGTCAATAAATTATATGGTCAACTGTTAGTAATCAAAAATTTAAAATGATTTTTGTAATTTTAAATTGATTAGTATTGATTATTTAATAATTAAATGAAAGATTAAATATATCAAAAGTAACAGTTTTTGGAGGAAATGGTTAAATTGTCACATAGACAAAATTAAATAGGTTTTATTAAATATTATTAGCTAGTAATTATACATATATATATATATATATAGTCACCTAAAACCGATCATACACTTGCTCGGGTGTCCCCAAGATGATTCTATCACTTACAACACCTTGAATAGTTCTTTTGGCCAAGGAATTACAATCTTTACATACATCAACTTTAAAAATGAATTTAAATAATCTAATTTTGGAACATGAATTATTTGCCCTTGAATTCATGTGCATGTGAGCATGTCTTCAACTAGCAATAAAGGACAAACATGTTTGAATTCGGATAGGTTTAATTTGAGTTTAAATAATCTAATTTTGGAACATGAATTATTTGCCCTTGAATTGATGTGCATGTGAGCATGTCTTCAACTAGCAATAAAGGACAAAACATGTTTCATACGGGATATTATATATGTACTAGACCGATCGACCGGGACAATGGAACGAACCGGGTTAATTGGGCTGCTCGAACAAGATATCTGTCGAGCTATAAGGGCCAAAAGATTAGAGACAGACAAATCTAGGAGCACCTGACAAGTCCTCGATGTAGCAGATATGGTCGAGTATAAAGGGAGAACGGCTGTGAGATCGACCACTCTATACTAACAGAATGGCCCAACAGTCTGCCCAGATATGGTCGAACTTAGGAGTCTAAAAGGAAATCTACAGCACGTGCGCGGAGGACAAGCGGCGTATGATGAGTGGTCCATGGCGATAACGGTTTCTGACACCCCTGACGCACTCTGACACATTCCTGAGACCAAGGTAGTGGAGGAAGGGGATTGTACTACCGACGAGAAAGGCGAGCTCGAGACGATTTCCAGTCGGTTGGGCGTTATGTTTGTCGTAATTTTGGGCATGTGGTAACCGAGCTACCCGACTCTGGTTGTTCTCAAAGGAAGGTTGTTCGGAGGTTCGCTTACTACCTAGTCGTCAAAATCACATAACCAAAAAGAAGGTCCTACACATTCTACTCGCTTAAAGGGATTAATTGCACGAAAATACGCTAAAAATCTAAAAGCAAAGGGTGAGAGATGCAAGATTTAAAAGAAAGATCAGAACTTTGGTCTATTGGAATCCCCATGACTCAAGAAAAAAGAAAAATGACAAGAGAAAACATGCAAGCATAGTGATCCTAGGTCTTCTAACACGAGCTTTCTACACTAAATCACCACGCTTTGAACAAAGTCGAAATCTTTCTAGATAAGCACATATCGAATCCTAACACACGAAAGCAAGCAATGAAAATAGAGCAAAAACCTAGAATCGAGCATCAACACAAAATCAAAAAAACAAACTCGAAGTAATTAGCCCTAACCAAAGTACTTACTCTCCTACCGCATGCGTAGACGAAAATAGTGCATAAAACTCAAATCTTGATCGAAAATAAAGTCGCCAGAATTTCACCGAAAAAATTGAGTCATGAGTCTCCAACCAAAGCATAAAAAAATAAAAGAGAGAAAGTGGAGAGGATTTCCCAATTAAAAGTTGGGAAATGTGGGTGGTATCCAAATATACAAAGCTCAATGTCTATATATAGCTACACAACACACACACTAAAAACACACACATTTAATGAAATTCTGCAGTTCGCGGGTCTCGAAACGGAGTTCGCAACGAGTTTGGGCATGGGGTAGTGCAGAAATGGGTGTTTCGCGGGTCGCCAACAAGAGTTCGCTGGCGAGGGTGGGCTTTGGGTGCCTTGGGTGCGCGTTTGCGGGTCGTGACATAGACTTCGCAGCGAGTTCGGCCCAAGCAGCTGTGGTGAGGCGTTTGGCGCGGCGCGAAGTGTGGTTCGTAGCGAGTGCGTGCTGGCAGGGATCATGTGCGCGTGTTGTCTTCGCGGTACGCCAACTGAGTTCCGCAGTGAGTGCATGAGGATGCGCTCTAGGTGATCTTGCAGCATGCCAAGCTTTCTTCGCGGCGAGTGCTCCCAGCTGTGGCACGCCATTTCGCGCGGTGCAGACTCATCTTCGCGGCGAGTGCTACTTGTGGAGTGGCTAGGTGCTTCGCGGGGCGCGGGTACAATCTTGCAGCGAGCTCCGAGGGTATAGTAGAGGTTCCTTTGGACGTAGCTCGTGGCTTGCGAATCAGATTTTGCAACAAACATGGCACTAGACTCGATTCTTTCACTCGGGTACTCAATGGTCATCTTTCTTTCAGAAAATCATGTGGCTTGATCAAATGGCTCGACTAACTCGTCTCGGAGTAGCTCGACATCAAAATCATGGACAATGGCTCGGAAAAATAGCTCGGATAATGGCTCGTCTCCCCGTACATGAATAAGGACCTAAACACACCAAAAGTGACAAGGAAATACGCCAAAATATAAAAAACACATAATAAAAGATAGAAACACATAAAACACGACAAAATGGATCGATTGACACCAAATCAAACCTAAAAACGACTCAACCAAAGCACATCAAACACAATAAAATACCACAAAAACATAACAAACAACTCCCCCACACTTAACTCTTTGTTTGTCCTCAAGCAAACAAAACAAGTAGCTCGAAAAGAAAAATCGAACGGTCCAAAATTAACGAGCATGTGAAATGAAACTCTCATTTTCATCCGGATATCCATAAAATCAAAATCCAATCCGAAATCACGGTCCCCACATTATGAATCCATAGAAAAAAAAAAACCCGTCCCAAGTCATTCTACACATGATAACTGTTTGTCCCATTTTTGTTGTGTTTTTCGTTATCTTTTTGTTTTTATTTTTTCCCCATTTGAGTCGTTTAGTCGAGTTTTAGTTTATTTTATGGTTTATTTAGTGTTTTGCTTTATTTGGGTATTTCTTGTATTTTTTCGGTCGTTCTCCGGTAGTTTGTTGTTTTTGGTGTGCAGGCTATAGGTCTCGAGAAGATTTGATTTCCATGGTAAAGGGACCGGGAGACCATGGTTAAAGAGAGCGTTTCGTTGGGAGTACACGAGAGAAGA